TGTAGTATATTTTATGTTTTAATATTAAAATATAAGCATTTATATAACATTTATATTTTAAAATATAAATACTTAATTTTTAATCAACCTTAAATTAATTATAAAAATAAAGTTATATAAAAATATAAAAAAATAATGGGAGTGATGATTAAAATAAAAATGTCTATTTCAGTCATTTTAGCATTAAAAGATCTTTTATAAAAAATTTTACCAAACAACTTTTAATTCTACAAGTACTTAAAAAATTTACCAAGTACTCTTAACTTTTCAAAAACAACACTTCTATCAAAAGCTCCAGTCACACCAAACGGGTTCTTAATTTGAGATCTGGGTATCACCAGTTGAAGATTAATGGAGAAGATGTTCCCAAAACTGCTTTTAGAACTCAATATGGACATTATGAGTTTCTTGTAATGCCATTTGGGTTGACTAATGCACCTATAACATTTATGGATATGATAAATAAGGTGTTCAAGTTGTATCTAGATAAATTTGTGGTGGTGTTTATTGATGATATATTGGTGTACTTTAGAAGCAAAGTTGAGCATGAGGAGCATCTGCGATTGGTGCTACAGATTCTAAGGGAGAAGAAGCTTTATGTAAAATTTAAGAAGTGTGCGTTTTGGTTGAATAGTGTGGCATTCTTAAGACATGTGGTGTTTAAGGATGGAGTCTCTATGGATCCAAATAAAGTGAAGGTAGTAGTGGAGTGGAGGAGGTTGACTAATTTTATTGAGGTTTAGAGCTTTTTGGGTTTAGCTGGGTGTTACAGGAGATTTATAGAAGGTTTTTCTTGCATGGCAATGCCTTTAACTCAGTTAACTTAAAAGGGAGTGAAATTTGAGTGGACTGATGGTTGTGAGCAAAGTTTCCAACAGTTAAAGAATCGATTAGTTTCAGCTCCAATCTTAATCATTCTCGATGATAGTGGTGGATTTATTATTTATAGTGATGCTTCCAAGAAGGGGTTGGGTTGTGTGTTGATGCAGTATGATAAGGTTGTTGCTTATGCCTCTAGACAATTGAAACCATATGAGAAAACCACCCAACTCATGATCTAAAGCTTGCAATAGTGGTTTTTGCTCTAAAAATCTAGAGGCACTACCTTTATGGTGAGCAGTGTGAGATATTCACTGATCATAAGAGCTTGAAGTATGTATTCACACAAAAGGAATTGAATATGAGACAGAAGAGATGGTTAGAGTTGTTGAAGGATTATGCTTTAATCATCAGTAATCATTTGGGCAAGGCAAATGTAGTGGCTGATGCTTTGAGCAAGAAAGATCATGGGAACTTAGCCACTTTAGTCACCTCAAATAGGCAAATTTTGAGAGACTTGGACAGGATGCAAGTGGAGATTAAAGAGCCTAGTTTTGGTGTTTAGTTGGCTACCTTAGTTGTTCGACCTACTTTAATAGAAAGAATTAAAATTGTTTAGCAAGGTGATCCATTCTCACAAAAGATTAAGCAAAAAGTGGAGATGGGATGTCCGTAGTGGAAAAAGTTCAAGATTCATGAAGATGGCTCTATAATGTTCGAGAACATATTACCAAAAGATGTTGAGTTAAAGAAAGAGATTTTGAAGGAACCACACTATACCGGGTATATTGTACACCTTGGAAACACTAAGATGTACAAGGATTTAAAAGGGATTTTCTAGTGGAATAACATGAAGAGGGAAGTTGCAGCTTTTATGTCTTAGTGCTTAGTTTGTCAATAGGTGAAAGCAAAGCATCAGAGGCCAGCAGGTCCTTTGCAATATTTCCTATTCCTGAATGGAAGTGGGAGCACATTACCATAGACTTTATATCTGGGTTGCCTAGTACTGTCAAGCAATGTTTTTGGACCCGGCCCGGTGGCTGGCTCGTTTTGACCACCGGGTCCGAGTCAACAGGTTGAACCGGTTCACCCGACCGGTTCAACCGGTCAACTAAAGTCAACTAAAAAACTTTTTTTTGGGTAGTTTAAATTTTTTATTGAATTTTGCTTTTATACCTTACCTTCACGGTTTCACCCGAAAACGATACAGATCGTTTTGAGCAGAACAGACGAGGGAGATGAAGATGATCGGCGAAAGAGAAGAAGTGCAGCGACGGAGGAGAGGATCGGCGGACGCTTGGCGGAAAAGATGATCGGCGAACGATTGGCGGTAGAGAAGATCGGCGAACGATCGCGGAAGAGAGGATCGGTGGACCATCGGCGGACAAGAAGATCGACGGACGAGAAGATCAGTGGAAGAGACGATCGGCGGACGGTCGGCGGATGATCAGCGGACGATCGACGGACAATCGACGAACGAGAAGATGATGAAAATTTCAGCCCGGCCGGTTGCAACGGGTTGCACGAGTTTAACGGGCGGGACGGGTCTGACGGGTTTCAACGGGCCATTTGCTTAAACGGGTTGAAGTATTCAACCGGCCCGTTTTCAGGTCCGGGTCTGGGTCCGGTTCAACCGGTTCAACCGGTTTAACCGGCCGGGCCGGGCCGAGTCCAAAAACATTGCTGTCAAGGGACATAATTCAGTTTAGGTAGTTGTTGACAAGTTAACTAAATCTGCCCACTTTTTAGTAGTGAAGAAAGATTTTCCATTAGAAAAGTTAGCAAGGTTGTATGTGCAGGAGATTGTTAGATTACATGGGGTACTTGTGTCCATAGTATATGATGGAGTTACACGATTTGTGGCACACTTTTGGAAGAGTTTACATAAAGCACTAAGCACCAAGCTGAATTTTAGCACTGTTTACCATCCACAAACATATGGACAATCAGAAAGAACTATTCAAATCTTGGAGGACATGCTGAGAGCTTGTGTTGTGGATATGAAAGGTGCTTGGGATGAACATTTGCCCTTAGTTGAGTTTCCTTACAATAATAGCTATTAGACAAGTATTCAAATGGCGCCTTATAAGGCTTTATATGGCAGGAAATGAAGGTCTCCAGTATGTTGGGATGATGTGGGAGAAAGAAGAATGTTAGGACTGGAACTTGTTCAACAGATTGTAGAGAAGATACAACTAATTAGAGAATGTCTTCATATAGCTCAAAGTAGGCAAAAGAATTATGTTGATAATTGAAGGCGTGATCTAGAATTTCAAGTGGGAGAAAAGGCTTTCTTGAAAGTTTCACCAACTAGAGGAGTCATGAGGTTTAGGATTTGAGGAAAACTTAGTCCTCAATTCATTGGTCCTTTTGAGATTTTAGAGAGTTTGAGAGGTAGCATACAGATTAGCACTACCACCGAATTTGTCAGAAGTTCATAATGTTTTTCATGTTTCCATGATAAGGAAATATGTTTCGGACCCTAGCCATGTAATTGAGCATTCTCCACTTCAACTTAAAGAGGATTTGTCCTATAAGGAGCATTCGGTTCGTATCGTGGACAGAAAGGAATAAGTGCTAAGAAGATGAATAATTCCTTATGTCAAGATTCAATGGAGTAATCATGTTGAACGTGAAGCAACGTGGGAGTTAGAGGAGGATGCGAGGAAAAAGTGCCCATACTTATTTGTCGATACAGGCACGAGTTTAGGGACTAAACTCTTTTAAGGGGAGAGGATGTAATACTAGGGATTATTATTATTATTATTATTATTTTAAAGATTTAGATAAATTATTTAAACCCTTAGTGGATGTATATGTGATAGAATTAAATTTGGGGTTAAAACTATAATGAGGTGAGGAACTCAGGGACTAAAACCTTATAGTTAAAGCTTAGGGACTAAGTGATAATATTCCCTTTTGTGAAAAACCTAAAACAGTGTAAGTTGGTAGTTTCTAATTCTTTTTCTTTTTCTAGGGAATCAAGAATGTCTTCTTCCTCTCGCCAGTAAAGGGAACCCGCTCAAAGGATTTGTCTAAACTAGGGTCAATCAAAGGTAATTTGTTTCTTAAACTTAAATCTTGATGATTAGAAGAATGATGAGAGGGGAATTTAAAAGCTTATGTCGTAATTTGCTTATTAGGGACTCCTTTATCACACAATTTCACACTGGAAGGGAAAATGGGTGGAATATTTTGGAATGTAGGAATGAAGATAGTGGATTTTTGGTATTGCTATTAAATTGTAAATTTGGATGGTATGGCGTGAAGAATTTTCAAGGGAATTATTTATTTAGTTGTTTAGCTTACAAGAGTGTGTGAAGGAATAGCTGGGTTTGAGGAATTAGACATCAGTGGCGTGGTTTAGGGAATTACTACATGTAAATATTTGAGAAGTACTAGGTAAATTTTTATTGGGTGATTGAGTTATGTTTATTTGATTCTTTTAAGTTTCAATTGATTGTGCGAAATTGCATTTTAAAAGATAATTATTAAGTAAATGGCTATACCCTCTAGTGTTATTTTTTTTTTTTAAAGTAAACTGATTTATTTTAAAGGAGATGTGTCCAGTTATAATTATTCTTTCCAGTTTCTTAGAAAATAATGTTTATTAAAATGTTTTTATATTGGAATGAGATGATTTTTGAACCGAGCATGATGTTTTATTTAAGAGTTGGATATGATTGTGGCCATTTGCTGTTAGTTAATTTAAATATGTTTTTTTTTACTGATATGATTATTTTGGAAAGGTTCTTGTTTACTAAAATGATTATTCTGGAAAGGTTTTGTTTTGTCCTAACTGTATGATTAACTCTTGTGAGGGTTGAGTTGTTGGTATTGTGATAGACGTGAGATTTATGGATTGTAAATTGTGGATTGTGTATTTTGGACTAGGATTGTGTATTGTGGATTGATAATTGAGTATTATTGATTGTGGATGGTGGATTGTTACATAACCATAAAGAACGAAAAATGAAATATTCTGGTTTTAAGGAAAGAAATGTACTTTTATCGTTTAATTTTCAATAAAAACTCAATTTTAAATTTATAAACTTGGTTGTAATGGATGAGTATACTACTTACAAAGTTCTTAAACTCACGTTTTCAAATTTCATCTCATTTCAGGTGAAGTATGAGCATTGGATTTTCCATGGGGATTGAAAGATGGTTAGAATAAATTTGCAAAAATTTAGCAATAGCTCAATTAGAAGCCTATTCGATTTTATGGAATAAGATGTTAACCACTTTATGTTTTGGTTAAGAAATTTGATCTTGTTATTTAGAGACTATTAATATTTATTAATGGAATTGTTATTTTGAAGTTGCAAGGCTACAGTGAAACTTGATGGGAGATTGTATTGATATGCAGGTAAATGACTTTACACATTTATTGGATTACCCTATAGATGTGTGGTGTTTGTTACGCCTAAACCTATGGGTTGGGGCATGACAATAAGTATGTACAAAGAGCTCCCTTTTTTTTTCTTTTTTTTTTCTTTTTTAGTTTGGTATATTTTAAATTGTAAAGTTTATTTTGTAATTTAAATGTATTAGACTATACAATAGAAAACTCAAATGCATATACCATGAAAAAGAGAATGACATAATAATATCAAAATTTCTATGGTTTAGTTTGACAATACTAATCTATAGCTATAGCTATAGCTTTTTTTACTCCTTTAACATTTTAAAAATATATTTAATATTTGTTTTAATTAATATTTTACATATTTTTAAAATAATAAAAGGACATAAATACTAAAAATTACAGAATCGAAAAGCTTTCTCAAACGAAACCTATATATCCAAGTGCTTCCACTCTAGCATGCAAGATCTTCATCCTTCTTGTTGATTTTGTGTTTTTCCTACATGATTTTGGTCCAAGATATGACATCTGAAGCCACGCTAATTAATGTTGCCATTGTCCACCACTGTAGAGGTTTAAATTCAATTGTAGTGGATAGTAACAAATATTTGGGAAAGGTCGTAGGAAACCGAACCCACCAAAGCACATAACAGATTGCTATATTTAACCATTCATTGTAGCATAGGCGAGGTTCCAAACCAACTAACACCACAATACTGTATGTGACAACAGATTTCAAAGACAAAATCATGTTTGTTATTCCTTTAGCATTTGTGGAGGGCAGTGATAGACCTTCGGGGAAAAATCTTCGTAACCAAAAACAAAAAACTATATAACTGATTATTGCAAATAACCAGTCTTTATAATTAGCCACAGAATATGTGAGAAGAGCAAACACAGACATGCCTTGTGCAACATTTACAGTGGCTAAAATCCAACCGTCGATTCTTCTGGTATTTGTAAAGGGCAATGAGCTATCTTGGGAATTGCACTTACATAACCGAGCATACCAAAGCATAATAGTGATTGCCTTAGCTAACCAATCTTTATAGTTAGACAAGGGGGGTTTGACAACAAAAGTTATAAAGAAAGCTCCTACGAAATTTATAAAACTTGATGAAAAAAACAGAAACAAGCTAGTGCTTCTAACCATGGTATTTGTAAAGGTCAATGATTGATCTTCTTCCAAATCCAACCAATACTTATCTAACCAGCTTTTGAAACTAATCAACACAAAACAAATGGAGG